GTTCAAGGGCACCAGCTCCCCTGTCCATTTGCCCGAGGGAACCACCCGAGCCAAAAGTTCATCTGGTACCTCTGGCCACATCTTTCTGAGGTCCGTCAGCCAACGCCAAATGTTTGGCGACAAGTCACCAGGGTCACCCGCCTTCAAAGCATTGACCCGATTCACCAACTCTGTCTCCTGCTCCTCCAACTCCTTGATCAAACGACGCGCCACCTGTAGATCCACCGTGGGACAACCGGCTTCCAGGAGGACCTCAATCTTAGCACCCCTTGGGTCTAGCATCTCAAACTCCTCGCCCTCCCACGTGACCTTGTAGCCGAGCTTCACGACCTTGCCAAGTGGAATAATGAGCTGTGTATCAAAATCTGTCACCAACGTGCCCGTAGTCTGGATCTGCCGCAGTGTGGCCACTCCCGCTGCCAGTTCAACTTGAATCGGAAGAGCGTCGTCAAGCTCGGCCTTCGTCTTGGCTGGCCTGAGAATGTGTGTTGCCCCACCATCCAACAGTGCTCGACGATGACCTTCTCCCTTGTTCACGGCACAGACGGAGACCACCTTCATCGAGGGCCTTAGGGACTTCAGCAGCTGCACCGCCTCCTTGACAAGAGCATCTGCCGGTGGAGGACCCTGGTCAGTAGGCGGAAGAAAGCCCCCATTTCCACCCGGCGGCGAACTCTCAACCTCTGTCACCTTCACCTCCTGCTCCCGACCCTTTCGATCGTCCGTCATCCCCTTCTTCACAAAAGGAGTCTCCTTCACAGGGCAGTCCGGCTTCATGTGCTGCGTCGATCCGCAGTTCCAGCATTTGCCTTGCTTTGATACCCCCTTCCACTCATGCGGAAAGGTGCACTTGTGCCCCTTTTTGCATCCCGATTCTGACAGGAAGTATCGGCAAACAGGTCGGTCACTCGAGCTGGTCTTGTAGTCGCCCTTGTCGTTCCTCACCTCCTGCTTGGCCTGCTTCCCATCTTTTCCTCCTCGAACCTCCTTGGTCTCACCAGACTCACGTGATCTCTCCTTGCCGTCCTTCTTCACCTGGTCCTCCTTGCTGCCTGCCGCTTCACCGTCCAGAACCTTGACCTTCACAGTCTCCTTGATTGGCAAAGTCGAACCACCATGGAACACAGCTTCTCCCTCCGCAAGCAAGGACTCTGAGAACTGTTGGATGCTCTGCTCAGTAGGGGCAGTGTCTACCCGCAAGGCTGCCCTCGTGACCTGCAAACGGAAAGCCACTTGTGGTGAGTGCTTCGCCAAACCAGCTGCAAACCGATCCAGCGTGGACAGCAGAAGGACCGGATCCGGTGGCTGAATCCCAAGCTCCTGCACTCGGGTGAGCCATCTTCTCCAGGAACGCAAGGCCACCATCCAGTCGCTCAGAGGTACCGGAACCTTCTGATCTACCAACTGTTTGAGAAGGGTAGTCCTCTCCCCCAAACCTCCAGGTTGGTAAACACGAAGCACCTTGAACAAGATCCCAATCGAACTGACTTCCCGCTGAGCCACCAATTCGGACCTCAATGATTCCGGCAAGGCCTTAAGCAAAGCCACCGATCCCCGTTGTTCGATCCTCAACCATGGAGCCACCTGGAACGCCGGAGGAGACACTGGTGCGAGACGAAGCCTTTCCATAGGTTCCGAACCCAACCACACACGATATAGAGCTCCTGCAACACGAAGCACCTCATCCCACCAAAAAGAGGAACTTGAGCTCATGTCCCGCAAGAAGGGTCCAATGGTGGTTATCCAGTCTCCTGCAACAAGAGGCCCCACTTCCGACTCCGAAAGTTCCGGCAATGCTGGAAGATCCACTGCCCGAACGGACTCCTGTTGCGCCATCAGCCCACCAATCCATGCTGGAAGATGACCAAACGGTTGACCAGCCGCCCCACCTCCAGGTGGACCTCCCGGAAAACCTCCTCCTCCCGGTGGACCGCCAGGAAAGCCTCCACCTCCAGGTAGACCGCCAGGAAAACCTCCAGGAAAGCCTCCGCCACCCGGTGGACCGCCATGAAATCCTCCCGGAAAACCTGGTCCTCCACAAGGAAACCCTCCTCCACCCGGTGGTCCATTTGGATCATTAGGAAATCCACCTCCACCATGACCCCCACCACTTGGAGAATTTCCACCAGCCCGTCCCAGAGCATCTCCTGCCACCACGCCCGAGCCACCATAGCCTGAGGCGCCTTCATTTCCCCCACTAGGTTGCCCTGCTTGATGACAAGAACCTTCTTGAGGATCATGAGGTAGTGAATCTTGTCCCACACCTCCCGTGCCTGGCCCCGAACCACCTCCTGCTGGTGCACCAGAACGAGCACTTGACTGTGGAACTTCACCTGGAATACACGAAGTCATTTGCCCCGAACTTCTCTGTAGATGCGGTGCAAAGGAACTAGCAGCTTCCGCCACCATATTGAACACCTCCAACAAACTACCCCTTGCCGTAGACCCTTGCCCTCCATGAACACCAGGTCCAGGTCCTCCAAATACTCCCGAAGCAGGCCCTCCATGTACTCCCAAACCAGGTTGATGACAAGGAAAACCACTTGACCGCTCCCCAGGCATGGCTAAATGCCCCAACAAACCTCTATCTCCAGGTTGAGATTGGGGTGTGATGGAACTCCTCAGCAAATCCATCACCATGGACATAGGATTTCGATCACCCCCATGCCCTTCACCCCTCATTCCACCAAGCCACGCTTGCTGAAGACCACCAGCTCCATGCCCATGGACCCAACCAGCATGCCCGGCGGACATGGATTCCCTCTCCGACCACAACCCAGCATTCTCTTCCAAAAGGCTCTGCATCATCATCCGAAACGCTTCTGGCTGCTCCCTCGGTGGGCTGATCGAAGTGGTAGCCTGAGGAAACGGCTCCGTTCCTTCCTGAGGCAGGTGTGTTGGTCGGCAAGCCCGAAGGATCGCCTCCTCCCGCGCCGAACCCGTCCAGAAAGGGTTGACTCCAGGGCCTAGAGTCACCGGTGGCCCAACCGGTCCCACCATTGCACCATGGCTAGGTTGAATGTCTTCGATGGCCTTCGGATTGGAATCCGGAGTCTTCTCGCTATTCCCCTCCGACATGGCTCGAAACCAAACGAAAATGGAAAAAGCGTCACCTTGGGCTCATAACCCACAGTGCACAAAAACGTAAACGCTCTTGTTTTCCTTGGTCAAGAAAAGGGCTCACGTAACTCGTACGTGTCTCAAATGTCAACTGGTCAGGGATTCGCTACTATATTATATAGTTATATAGTTATATATATAACTCGCAATTTGCAAGTGCTTTTCGACCCCCTTGAATTGGACACGGACATGGAGGGATTTTGCACGATAAACAATACAATGTGCATGATCGCGACAAGACTTAGAGATGAACGCAGCGTGAAGTGGATGAATAAAACAAAAGAAGTATCTATATTGCAGCGCCTCCTTAATTACTGTTTAGCTATGTCTTTCTTACAACTTGCAAGGATTGTTGGATAAAATTTTCGATGCCCTTGAAATGGTACATGTCACAAACATCCACATCAATTTGGTCTGAGCAATGAAATATGATTTGGACCCCCTAGCGCAAGCTATATGGCGATAACGCGAACCAGCAGTGTTACGCCCCTCAGCAGGCCTTCGGTGGCGGATTTTGGAGCCTCAAAGGTACTGTGGTCAAGAGGAGAAAGACAAGTGGATAGACAAGGGGAGACAAGGCAAACGCAGACAGAGACAAAGTTGCAAAAGACGATGCAAAGTATCCTGCAGTCACTGTAACTAAACCTCGAATTGAGGCACTTCACCACCAAAGCAGAACAATTCAAGCACGTTTCGACCCTATTCACCCTGCCATGTACTTCTTTCTTTTGACCAAGCTTTTGACCCGCAGCAAGTGTCTATAGGAACTGGAAACCCAGCAGGCCATGAGAGAGGTCGATCAGGCCAAGGAAAGCGGGCTGCAACCCTCTGGAATTGCATGCTCGGACCAAATTCAGCCACAGGCAAGGAGGTCCCTTGGACCAAGACATTTGCATGGATCAATGATCAAAGCACCTTCGCCTTGGATACGGATTGGATACGGAATTCGATATGAATTCGGGCTGCAAGCCTTCCAAATCGAACGATTTCAGCACCAGCTCTCGAAATTCTCCTCTGCAACCTATCTCGCTCCGGAACTTGCTCCAGAACCTGATCCTGCTCCAGAACTTGCTCCTGAGCCTCTTGGTCCAGAACCTGCTCAGGAACCTGCTCACGAACCTGCCAGCGAACTTGCTCCCACCAGCAGCGCTCCCCCGGTGTCCCCCTGCACATAGCTCCTTTATCAAGAGGGCCATAGCGCTTCTGCTCGAGGGCCTGGCTTCCCCTGACCCACCTATTGACGTGGAGCACGTCAAAAAACCTGCATAAAGACAAGAAAGCAAAGTGCAGAGTTTCAAGCTCAAAGGAAAACACATGTGTTGTATCGTTGAAAGACATGCAAAATTTCCCTTGTCTGGCAAGGTCTTTTTCCTTAGAGCATAGTCAGCCATAGTTCCGGAGCAAGTTCTGGAGCAGACTCAGGGGCAAGTTCCGACTCTCAAATTCCGGAGCAGGTTTCGGAGAAGGCCAGATTGTTGGGAGCAAGTTGCAGATCAGATTCAGAAGTTTTGGAGCAAGTTCCGGAGCAAGTTCCGGGCCAGCTTCCACTGACAAGTTCCGGAGCAGCTTCCGGAGCAAGTTCCGGAGGAGGTTGGCAGCACACGATGCGACAAAGGTTGTCAGCCTAGGATAGCCGTCCACCAAAGCTGGCTATTTCTGCGTGTGATGCGCTCCTCTCACACACCCAGAATATATATATATATATATCTCTCTCTCTATCTGTGTCTGGCCTCCGTAGCATGTAAGCGTTTTCCAATAATCGTAGTGAAGGCTTGCTCCAGATTGACAGGCCAAAAATAGTCGCTGTGAGCGATCCCTTCTTTTTCTGCAGACTTTTGAATTTGGTGTGTTGATTCACTGGCCCTCTTTCATTTGCCCAGGGCAGATCTGGTACCACACAAGAGGTCACCCCCCGAGGCAGGGCACCAATGCTTTAAAGACAAACACAATATAAACACAATATAAACAATGACAATGATCAGTTCATTACAGTTATGATAGAATTGTGTTCAGTTCATTGAAAAGTCTTGCAGAGCAAGGGAAGGTTGTGAGGACTGCAGCTGGCACGTTGCAGACAGGGCAAACTAGTCATTCTGCCACGTTTTTTTGTGCTAGGAATATGAGTCTATAATCGTGCCAACTTGCAAAGTCAAGATATGGCCTTTGAACACTTGTGCCAGAGAATTCAGCGTTGGTTTGCAGATGTTTGCAGCACATTGGATGGCAAGCCGCTGGATACCATTCTTTGTGGTTTTGCAACTGCATTGAACTTTTGTGGATGCACTTGGTAGCTCAATGCCAACCCTTGCGGCCTCTTGGCGCAGCAAGGAAATGCCAAATTCAGAGCAGCAGATTGCACAGGTTTGCACAGACTCTGCCTTCTTTTTACTGTCCGCACAGATTGAACAACTCGTTGAAAAAGGGCACGCTCAGAGGTGGCACCACCACAGTGCATCTGGTTTGCAGATGTTCAGCGACGTTGCTTGTTCCGGACGCGTACTCAGCTGATTCGAACATCAATTTGTAGACAGTAGAAGTGACCCAGAGAAATAACACACGAGTTCAATGTCGAACAACGATTTACCTGGGACCTAGGCTCATAATACATTTGCATGTTGCACCAGCATCCACTATAAATTGTGTGTATATGTGTGTATTCATTCATGGGTCTGACAGGTCCAGGAACAAAAGGATCATCAAAGATCTCTTGCACAATTTGGCTGGCTTGATGCTTTTGATTTTGATGCTTCGTAGCCTTGGCAATGCTCCTTTGATTCGGACTCAGCAGCCGAACTCCCCTCTTTAGAAGTGATGGGCCGTTGCACCAAGGACGCCCAGCGTGGGTATTCAATGCCACTGTACGTGATTGAAGGTAGCGCATGTTTGTCAGTCTTTTACCTTTGCAGAGCCTTTGCAGGTTTGGCACATTCAGGAAGAAAGTGCAGTGCTTTGCTCCTCTTCATGCTTGCACCATCTTTATCCTTTGTTTCAGACTCCTCAAGAGGGTTGGTCGGCTTGTGCAGCTTAAGCGCGTCAGTTGGGCATGAAGTTATCGTTTCTTGGCGTGTTGGGGTCTTATGTTTCTACAGTACCTGTTCAAGCTTTCTCTTGCTGGCAGGCATGCGCTTTCCGGCAGTCCATCTGCGTGGGCAGATGTCTAGATTGGCTCACTACGGCAACGAGGCAGGTACAAAGCATGGAGGATCCAATCACATCTCAAATGGGATCCAACGCCAGGCAAGCGACGAAGATGAGTTTGACTGCCGTTGCCTCGGCAAAACTTTTGTGTTTGCAGTAGGTACTCTCTATGATGGTATAGCTAGGGCAATGTTGGAAGTAGCAATCGTACGGTGCTTTTCGTCAAACTGAGTTGTTGATTCCTCCAGATCAGCACAGAGGCCCAAAGTGATGCCGCTTTGACCTTTTCTGCACACTCAGCAAGTTGTTGACGCATTGCAGTGACGACTACTGCATGCCCCCGGAAGCCGTGCCACTCTTATATACTCAAGAGTGCATCGGCTTCAGGGCACAAAGTGTGCACAAAACAGGAGAGGAATCAACAAATACCAGAGCAGGCGAAAGCTTCGCTGCACTTTAGGTTGAATCGGGCTCTGCTGGTAGCCCCTCGCCTAGGTGTGGACACTGTTTGCAGTCCCATGTCGACCGCTTTGTCGTTCACGCTTTAAAGTTTCTGTGCACGCTTGCACACGCTTGTGCATGCTTGCAGTCGGCACTCTGGACTACTGCCTGGATTTGGCAAGCTTCTTATGATGGACTTGAGCACCGAAACTGTACTGATCAATTTATCTGACTGGTGTCCGGGAATTGTCCTTGCTAGGCCTTGGATCTGACCTCTCCGAACCAGATTTCCTTGGCGGTGAGGCTTCGCCCAGTACACCCAACACACGAATGTCATAACCCTGGTACGTCACGCAAAGGTATTCTTTTTGTCACACGGGTTTGCGTACAGACAATGATTAAACCAGTGCTTCGTGCTTGCTGTTGCCTTGTCCACAAGACGGACGACGACAGCGACAGAGAGACTGAGTCGGACGGCGAGATCTCCAATGCGAACAACCTGGAGTTTGAGGTTCGATTTGCTCTTGCAGAATTGGAACACCAATGCACATGCCTCCCTCCCACCCCAAAAATATCGGACATATATAAGGAAGCAAGTAAGTACCACAAACAAGATAGTGCTCGGGAACATGTCTTCTGGGCAAGGACGAATACACCTGTGACTCAGAAGAAGCACTGCTCCCGCCACAGCTGCCAGTGGTGGCAGAGGACTGAACTCTTGGGCCCAATTGTTGGAAGCAGACAAGAGGAAACACCCATGCCTCAGTTGAGCCCTCAAGGTCTTGAATAATGCTGGTTGTGCCAAATTCGAGGGGTGGCGTTTTGTTCCTTGTTTCGTACTGTTGTCCCTGTGAAACATATGAAACACACTTTGAAGCTGCCCAGATTTGGTTGGAATTGGTGCATCTCACTGGAGCGCGTCGTGTGAGATTGCCACATAAACGCTTGGCCCGCTAAAGTTCGCGTGTTGTGTTAACTCTCTGACTCCCACTGTCCTGAGGTTGTGATGATGTTGGGACGGGTTTTGTGGTCGGGTTTGCATTGACTAATTCCAAGCTGTTTGCCCGAATCGCAAAGTGCACAAAGTGTGGTTCACGTCTGGTCTTTGCAGCCACAGCCACTGCGAGCAATCGACTGGCAGCCACGCTTTGCTCAGGTTGAAGTAGAGAGCGGGTGTGCCTTGGAGAGGGCACCCTCTACCAAACCCCTTCAAAAACATTCAAAAACACTGTAAATGCAATGCATTTTTCAATCTGCAGTGCCAATGGTAACTTCCTGCTTATGTGTATTAATTTTTTCTTGCTGCTTGGCAAGGCTGTTTTGGCGGGTTTCAGTTTCTCATCACCACCTGATTTTGAGTGATTGATGTCAGATATGCAGACCTTAAACACTTGTCCCTTAGCAACTCACTAGGCTTTTCTATTGCTCCAATAGATTTTACATTTGATTGACTCTTTTCTACTCTTGCTATGCTTTAATATGGATCAGGAAGCTCTTCCGAGTCCAAACAGGCTGAGAGAAAAACAAAGTTGCGAAGAGTTCTATCGGAAAAAAGCATACCAAACAAATACCACAGACTTAATTTCTCGCATCTTGTCCAAGCCAAGGGGAACAAGAACTATGACAATATAAGCAAAAGAACAAGTTATTGCCTGGATAGAAGTTAACCAATGCTTTTGCACGTTTTGAAAGAGTTGAACAAGACAAAACAACTTGACCAAGAAGAACCTTGTGAAGACTGAAGCAGCTTTCCTTTTGGCGCACAATTTTAGCACACATTTGAGAGTATAGACTATAGATTTTAACACACCTTTGAGAGTGTAGAACAAAAGCTAAGGAAGGCATATAATGTACTGTAAACCGTATAAGTACTGAAGCCACAGAAAAGCCAATTGAGACTGGAAACCAAGGGAAAGGATTCGTTGCGTGGATAGATGCTTATGAATCTTCTTGCACCTGGTCTAGCTCATTGCATTGGTAATGATTTCCTTTGTTTGAATTTCAATTTTCTTAAGAAGACAATCTCTCACATTGCAAGGATCTAAACATGGCAAAACAACTTGACCAAGAAACACCTTGTGAAGATTGACGTTCCTTTTGGTGCTCTATTTTGTAATATAACGAATTTGAGAGTATAGAAAAAAGTTAAACAAGAAATGCACAACCTACTGAAGCAATAGAAAAAACAATCGAGACTAGCTGAATAAGAGGAACAAGAGCTTACCAGTAGTCAACAAGCAAATCAAGAAGGAAAGAGCCACTGTTAAAGTAGGGGGCAAGTGTGTTTTGCTCAGTTTCTTTTGCAATAGTCGGGTAGGCCTTCATACAATTTTGCAAATGGAGAGCTTGAAAGCTACATTGTCAAAACGGTGCTAAACCAAAACAAAAACAACAAAGATGAAAAAGACAACAAATAAGCAACAAAACCGGCAACATGCGATTCGAGATTGCGTGTGAGCAGGAATGTTCACAAGAGTACCTTAGTGTAGAGGCTTTGACATGACATGCATACTGTGTGTACCAAAGGCTTCTTTCGTGGTTCAAAGTGCTGTTCACTCAGCCTCGACGCAGGTTATGAGCCCAAGTGGCTTTCGAACAACGCAATCATCAACCACGAGGTCACGCGTGGAGTGCGGATCAGGAGAGCTCGGAACTGAGGAATGCGGATGGGCTGTGGTGGCCCGACACCAATTCGAGGAAAGTGAAGATCTTGTCATACCTTCTCACAAGGTTTGGCGGACCAGGGGAGACCCAGCGAGGACCAGCATGGAGAAGCACCTTGAGGCCTACCTCAAGGAAGGAGACGAGCAGGCAACCAAGAAAAGAAGTATGTGAACTGAAGAGAGCCTTGAAAGAAAGAAGCCAAAGGGACAACCAGTCACTCCTTGGCAGGGAAATCTGTGAGGGGAACAAGGCGCCAGAGTGGACAAGCATGGAGGCCTGTATGATCTGGTAGAAAGTGATGACTGGACATCCTGAACTCCTTCAGCGTGGTGAAGATCAATGACAGCAACGTTGGGATGGACCAGCGCCACGGGGACTCCCTGAATGGGAACGTCAAATTCAAGATCGTTGTGGCCGGCTTGAACGTGATGTAATTGAGGAGGGTGTTGGCGGAGACGGACGTGAGAGCGGAGTCACCATCTTCGTATGGTGACCCAAAGGGACCTTCACCTCCACCACCGCCTCTGGATCCAATGGTCAAGAAGCGGGCAATACGTCATGGATGAGTGCAAAACCAGCGATTCAACATAGCCACTGAGCGTATGGGGTTGAGGTTCATCGAGTCACCAGTGTCGGGAGCGGGCTTGAAGTTGGGAGACTGCTTCGAGCTTGGAAGCAAGGTGAAACAGAGCGAGCTGCTTGGGATGTCAACAAGGATTATACACCGGAGGGCCTTGAAGCTCAGCTGTCCTTTTCCCAGATGGGGCGGAGGAATTGTTGGACAAATTGTCAGGGGGCCTACAACCTGGCGAGCGAAGGGCGTGGCGACCAACATGTTCAACAGGTCAACACCTGGTTCTATATCGTGTCGCTCAAGAATGGAACACCTAAAATAACACCATGTCGCAACGGCTGCGGAGACGAGTGTCACCAGAAGGCAAATTTTGTGGAGGAGGTTTTGCGCGGACGGGCGCAATCAGACCCAACAAGTCAGAGGTCATTAACCGTTGACAAAGGTCGGTTCTACCTTTGGCCGACGCGCGCGAAGTACGAGGAAGTTGAGGTGAGTGGCAAGGTGGAGAACCTTGCGGTCGATGCCCAGGAACGCACGGTAACCCTCCACCACGACTAGTCACAAACAACCGGATCCTGCTCTTGTTAAGAGGAGGGTCACCAGCCTGGCGTGGGCCGAGTGGCTGGGGATACCGCCGCTGTAGTCCCTGCTGTTGTCTTCAGTTTCCTGCGTTGTCATCTCAACCTCATTGTCCTTGGCATCTTCTTGGACCCTGCGTGTATGCAATCCTGGAACAGATCGCCGATGCGCGGTCTGTTGTGGTGGAGGACGGTGATGGCGTAGTGGTGTGGCAGTGGAGAAGAACAAACGGTGGCGGTGTGTGGTTGGAGAGGGAGAAAGCTGGGTCGACCTGATTAGTAGCCCGAAGAAAGCTGGCTGAAGAGTAGAGCTCAATTGTGAAAAAGGTTAGATGCTTGCTGCAAGGAGTGCCATCGTGTGCTTTCAGAGGTGGCGGCAGCGACGGCAGGTGCGAGATTGCGGCCGCGAGTATGTGAGCTAAGTCTAGTCGAAAATGTCGCGCAGTGAATTACGCTCGTGCAGGTGAATTAGTCGGCGTCGAGCCCAGGATCCGAAGAAAAGTGGAAAGTGTAACATTCCCAAAATCAAAGTTTCAGCAAAGAAGCAGAAAAAGAGAATTGGATTGGATGAGACGGTTGAAACAGCGCGCAAGGTTCGAGGCAAGTTTTTTTCACTCATGGGTATGTGTTTGGCGGCGCTCCGTCGGCGGCCCATATCAGGCTTCTCATTGTCATGACAGCGTTGCCTGGATGTATGATCGAGCATTTGCCCCTAGAGTGATTCACTGCGCCATGCTCGTCATTGAGCAAGTCCTTTGCGTAGCCCTCCCCTCCACGATGATATTTGAAGCCGGTCACCCAAGCCAGCGAACGTGTGAACGCCCCCGCCTTATTCTTGTCCAAATTTCTTTGTTTTGTGGAATACTTGAGAGCGTTCACTGTAGTCGTGGGTGGCGCGGTATCTCTGTGCGAAAAAACCGGATTAATATATCAGTAAAGTGTAAAGCGCTCGCCGCGAACTTCCCGTGCGTCAACATATCCACTATGTTGCCGTGCTCGCTTGCATGCCCGGCCAAGATATGGCAAATGGGACGAGGTTGGCAGTCTCCCCCCGTGGCGGTGGCGGGCGGGGTGAATCAGCGCGGTGTGCTGGTTCGGGAATGCGCGCGAAGACATTTTTTAAATTGTCCCAACTCGCAGCGCTGTAATTTCAATCAATGTGGGTAAATTGTTGAAAATCTAGAAGATTCGAAACATTGATGTTGCTGTCTGCGAGAAAGTGTGCTATGTGAGCATGGTATGGGATATTGCTGCAACCCAGCTGATTGGCGTGGTGATTCCGCGAGATGTCAAGTTGTTCTCGGTGAGGCTTGGCAGCGAAGCCTGGTGTAAACCGAAGAGGTTTGGAGGCTCGGCGCGTAGGGGAAATGTTCGCAGGTCCCATTCATTGGTCTTGGCAGATTCTGGGCTCGGAATCAGGCTGATTGTGTTGCGGTGGGAGGCTTCGCAGCCCAGCCGGCGCTGACTGCATCAAAGGCTTGGTCTTGTGAAGGGGTGGCGGTGAGGTGCGGTGACCGCCGGTGACGGCGATTGTCGAGGTTATACCCGACCCGTCGGCAGCTGCTGGCAAGAAGTAGGGGTTGAGTTGGAGTCATGTATACTGGCACTTGGACAAATGGGACGCTTGGTGGCGTGGACGGTTGTGGATGGGCGTAAACAGGCGGTAGTGGTGGATAGAGAGGCTGCGGCGGTGGCAATGTCTTTGGGTGCATGGGTGGATGAGTGGGTTGCGTGAGGCTGTGTCTGTGGTTGCTGGTAGGCAATTGGGCAGGGCCACGGAAACTGCATGTTGACAAAGCGCAGCTGTCAATGGCTGGTGGCAGCAGGCAGCGCGGTCTCGGCAGCGCTCAGCACGTGGCGTCGAAACGGAGCTCGAATTTTGGAAAGTCGCACGGCGCGCCCACATGAAGCAAATTGCATTATCAAGTTGGCTCAGGAGAGTTCACCGTATACTCGGCAGTTTTTGTATCAGTTGATCCGTCCAAGTCAGCTGATCAGAAAGTGAAGAAACAGCGCCCATTGTGGGGATCACACTGCACATTGAAGTGGGAAGATGCCGCTGATTTGGACTCATAGCTCAAATGAATGGGCATTAAGTTCAGAAGTCTTCAGCGATGCAGTGCCCTTGACTGTCTCAACAGAAAGGTGGAAAGTCGGGTATGGTTTAAATCACTGCCGCAAGAAAACGGGTATGGCCACCAGCTGCGTCTGACAACGCGCCCAGGTGCACCAAAGCAGCCACGTTTGCGCGTCCATACTTTCACGGTCTTGGTTGGCTTTGGCGTGAAAGTGGACCCCAGAGCCCCCTGCTACGCGCTTTGTTAAAAGTTCCAAAACGGAGGCGCTCCTAGAAACGGAGTTGGACGCACACACACATACATACATTTCGCGCAAAAGGGGCGCCGCCGAAACATCAAAGTCGCAATATTCCCACAGTTATTGACACTCAGCCATCATTTCGTACGAAAGGGTTGTCCTGGACGCCCACAGTTTTGATCTGGCAGCAGTCTGCGATTGGTTCATTGTGGCTTGCCAATATACAGCTGCAGACGCAATCAAGATGCTGCTTCAAAAATCCGTCCTTGAAGCCTTGGCGGCGCCGCATTTACGTTTTGGAAGCTTTGTGGCTGCTTGAGCAGCTGCGAGTGATTTTGCTAGGGCCGCTCCTCAAAGTGTTGTCGTTTGAGATGCGCCCGCATCGACGTTCTTCATTTGAATTGTGGTCACGCACGCCAACAGGCTGCGCAACATTTCTTGCATCTCCGCAAGACGCAGCGTGTGTACAAGCGCAACAAAACACATGTAAACATTGACTCCAGCTTTGTCCCGCTTACTGTTTCAAATCCGCTGTGCCATCACAGCCGACGCAAAAACTATGCGGCTACGTGGGCTGCAGTTTCCACAACATCATACCTCAAATCATCAGACGCGCACGTGCCGCAGACATCTGAGCCCACACATTTTAATGCGACAGCACGCGCGTATCTACATGAACATGGCCGGAAAGACATCTTTGGGGCAGACTCTGGGTCCACGCATTCTTCCATTTCATTTCATGTTTTCCCTTTCTTTCACTTCTCTTTCACTATGTCTTAATTTTCTTTGCTGTGCAAGTTCATCGTCACGCACGCATACCTCACACCACAGTAACTCTACATCCAAATGCTTTCGGGCCATCCCTCGTTTAGTTTGTTCGTTCTTTGAGCGTTTTGTTGGTGGAAGGAACATGGTGTTTGAAACCCAAAGTGTATGGCCTTCACTTTCAAGCAGAGGGGCCGCTGCATGGAAGTGTTCTGCGTGATACGAAAGAGGCATGGCTTCCACGTGTACTTTCCGCATTCAGTGGACGCACCGTGTTTATGACTATAAACTGTTTAGCGTGGCTCCATTACACAGGGCCTTGTGGGCTTGTGGCTACCCATTGTTCCTCTTGCTACGGCATTGTTACTGTTGTGGGCTTGCGGGAGCAACCCTGATGGGTGTTGCCAAATGACCGTACGTCAACTGAGTATCTGTCAGTACGATAGTGGAACTGAAACTGGGCACCCCCACCACCGACAGGACGAGCGACGTTCAGCCCGCGGATTCACGCAGGAGAAACTCCAAGAGTGCTGGCCACTTGGTGATGCCACTTTTGCAATCTTCATTTGTCCGGCGCCCAAACTTTTGGCTTGGATGCCCAGGTGTTGAGGGGTCAGATGAAAATAGAATAGAATAAAGGCCAAGGAAGAGGAGGGCCCCCAGGTGACCACGTTAGCTGTAGCTAAGCTCATTCCGAGCTCTTGCGAAAAGGCGCAGGCGCAACGCAGTGATTAGCTAGTTCTTAGCTGCATTTTCCCTCTACCAGCGAGCAAGCAATAATGCACAGTTGCAGCACCATCCATCCATCGTTATATCCCTAGCCGTTCCCAAAAACGCTACAGTGAGAGGCCGGCTTTTGTTGACAATTTGAAAAGAGTTGCCGCATCTTCTATGAAACTCATGTATTCGAGCCCATTCACTGGTGGGAATCCCCAAGCACACATCGCCTGTGCCACGACGCGCCCAAAAACAGTTAGAAACCACAACGTGGATTCGACAGCCGCGCCACCACGAACCACCGCACTACGCCACACAATCGCAACGGATTGCGCCCCAAAGCTTTGGTTCGCAACCGAAGACTGACCGGACACCGGCAGGACACATAGTGATCCATCGCTACGCTTCAAATCACACTTCACTGCGCTCACAGATCACCGCCCACCAACCATGGATCACACCGTGGATTGTGGACTTGCCACAGATCCCTAGCCTCTAGATTCAAGTGAGCGCCGCCATCCATTCCAATCAACTAACTGCCACAAAGTCAAAACGAAAGAGTCTATATATAGTTACTGCAACTGTATTCGAGCAGTAATGCTCTAAGCTGCGCCCTATATTCCCCTTTTTCCCGGCCAGGCCCAATCACGCATGATGTCATGACCGACCCTGTCGTACGGGGCCCTAGTGTCGCAAGACTGTGAAGCGAAGCTTTTGTTCACCCCACAACGTGGCTTGGCTGACCGTTCTCATGGTTGAGCCATTTCAAACATGATCTTAGGGGGCAAGAGGGCTGAGCCACATTTACAGACACGCCCCTGCACCTGACGGACAGTTTGCGCGCATCACAGCTTAGGCCTGTAGGCTCATATAGATGATTATAGATGCATCATGAAGTTGGTGTGCCGGCGCCCCACGCTTGCGCGCAGCACAGATCCGCCGGATTGCTCCGCCATCCGGATCGTCGGTGATCCAGTTTGAATCGTCAACCTCAGTATACTGAATTCAGACCTGGGCGGCCAGGGATTGAGCGCGCAGTGCGTCCCACGTCATTTTGATGACATTTCTCATATGATCAAAGATTTGAACAGGGGGGAAACCATTTGGTAAAAGGGAACCAACCCATACGCCGTTGCAAAGGATTGCTCGGGATTGAGATTGATGGGGGTCAACGCCGGGCAAAGCCAAAACAAGTGGTCATAGTGGCACCTGGGATTACCACAGTGAAGGTAGCTAGGGTCAATCTTGACATCGCTCCGGTGATTACACAGCGGAGACCGAAAGGAACCCAAAAGGATCGCGCGGCCCGCAGCGCAAGTGTCTTGCAATGCGGTCCAGGTTCGGGTTAAATCAATTCTTGCAAAAATTTTCACCATTTGAGAATTGGTCCTCTGGTTCCATCTGATTACGAGCCTTGCGCCAGTACCAAGGAGAACTTTCCAGCCAAATATGGTAATTCGAAGAGGAGGCAGTTCTGTGTTTTTAGCAGGGAGTTTGGAAGCATCTTTATGAACCACAACCTTTTTCTGAAGGGTAGTCAAAGAAACTCCCGGACACAGGGGGGCAGCAAAGACCTTAGTGACCCCTCTGCGCTCAAATTGATGGAAGCGAGACCCACGCTTAGCAGGCAACGTTTCTTCCGGAGTGGAATGCTCCAGCATGAGCGTCAAATCAGACACAAGGTCGTGACTATGCGCCAAAGCCTGAAGTTCTTTGGCCTGAGTAGACGTGGCAAAGGCAATCTTCCCCTGCAAATCAATGCACTAGCGTCAACAACGTCGGGAGCGGCCCAAAATCTAGCGACTTTTGGTGGAATCTCGATCTTTGGCGCCGACGCTTCCTGACCTTCGGAAATCTTTTCAGCCGCTGTGGCCTTAGCCCAAAAGTTCTCATAGAAAGTCTGCTTCCAGGAGCCTTGGATGATTTTTCTTCCCGTGGCAGGTCCTTGCTAGTAGGCTGCAACTCAGCCTTTCATTCCAAGATCAAGGTTTCCAACGTGCGAAGGATGACCCCAGCTGGTGGTCCAGAGGACACAATTTCCTGCAGACAGTTTGACGGCTTAGATTGAACCACATCGTGAGATTCGGTGTCATGCTCTTCAGATTTATACTGTTTTCACAGTTCTTCCCAACCTCCCAACAAACGTGTTTGCGGTTGCTTGCGGCGGCTTGCAGTTGCACCAGCTGCACCTCCTCGCAAAAACTCATTGGCGTTCTGCGTGCCAGCACGGCCGTTCCAAGAAGTCAGAACAGGCGCAAAATCATTCTCAGGTTCCTTCAACGATGTATGGACATCTCTCTATAGCGTGAGCCGCCGAGTGTTCCCAATAGATACATTGAGAACACGAAAGTAAACAATGGGCCCACAGGGAACGGGCCGCTCGGAACCAATTTATGAGCTTGTTGAGACCAAAAAGGGACAAGGAAACCTCGGACCCGAACCAAGAGTCTACGTTTCCAACGTTTTCGAGGAGAAGCGCAACGCATCGAACCCACGAAGCGACGCTCTTTCAAGCAGGTCTTCCGTTTTCCCGAAATAACTCCTTTCAGGAAGCATAGCCATTTGGGGAATTGGGAAATCCACCAACATATTACCAATAAGAACGGAACCGAGGCGAGGAGGAAGAAAACGGTTTTGGCCCAATTCCCAACGTTTACCCAAGCCAAGGTCCAGGACGTAAGCCCTTGTAGCAGCAGCCTTCCACGCAGGCGAGAAGACAATGAAGTTAAAAGCTCGGCGCGTTCCGCGTCCATGGCGATTGAAGATCGGGAGCGCCAGCCGACCCGGGGAGGCCACGTGAAGGCCACGTCGCGTAACCGTGACCGACGCCCCAAGCAGGCAAAAACCAGCTGCAAAGCAAAGAATGAGGCAACTTGAGAGCCCAACTTGAAAGGGAGCGGACCCTGGCTTTCCATATTGGAGGGACATCGGTAGGTCACCGGATCATCTCCTTCTGTGACCAATTGCTTCATGCAATCTTGCTCACCGTCTGCTTTTCTATTTCTTGTATCTTCTTGATTAACTCTTGTTTCGTTGCCGCCGCTGCACTAGATTCGCACCAAGTTCAGCGACTTGGCCCGCGTACACGTCGTGGAGGTAGTACACAGCGCGCGGCTCATATAGATGCATCGTCATGAGGTCGGTGCGCCGGCGCCCCACGCTTGCGCGCCGCTCAGATCCGGCGCCCGGATTGTCGGTGATCCAGTTTGCATCATCAACGCCAGTATACTGAATTCAGACCTGGGCGGCCGGATTGAGCATGCAATGCGTCCCACGTCAATTTGACGGCATTTCTCATATGATCAACTGGAAAGCTAGCGCAGCAAAAGAAGCTTCCCTTGGCGCTTCGCCTGGGAGGCGGCTCTTCCTTGGGCCTTCGCTATGTCGACGGCAACCAGCCTCCACCTTCACCCACAGCTTGGCGCGTCTCTGGCACACCTGACTGGCGGCCGGCCACGAACTCATTGCCACGTTGCAAGGAGCCGGCTGGAAAGACATGTCCATCATCGCCCCTCCTCGTTTCAGGAAAGGTTGGCTTGTCAAAGCCATTCCACCTGACACCAATCCGGGTACTGTTATTGGTGTGCGCTGTGGTGCTGATCTCACCTTGACACTCTGTAAAGCTCCTCCACGAATCCCGCGCGTTCTTGACACCAAGTCCCACAAAGCTGGCGTGTGGTTGACTAACCAGTCCACGACCGGCACTGTGGAGGGCGTCGGTCCTGACGCAACCTCATCCCCTCCCAAAGATGCGGCTTCAGATGCTGCTGATGATGATGATGATGATAATGATGATGATGATGATCATGATGATATATGGTTCTGGACACCACTGAAAGCAAGGGCAAACACCTGCTTTCGTGAGACAAGAAGGAAGCAAAAGTAGAAGACCGCGAGATGACAGCCGAGACGAGTGGCGGCTGCTTTGAGGGTCTGCTGATGCTTTGCAATATGGGTCGTGGTTTGTCGTGGCAGGGTGTGACCCATCGTATAGTTCCCTTTTCATGGATTATGCGCGCCAGGGTGACGTACCAGGAAGCAGGCCGCGGCCAACGAATTGTAGCCGCAAACACCATCACCTCTACAGTCGAGGGTCGAAAACCCTTGAAGGATGTCAAAACGGGGCGTACTCCCATCCAACTGCAATGCAGCAACGCTGCGGCCAAAGTTTTGGCCTTGCGCCTGAAAGACCAGCGCTGCCAAGCAGTCATTCCAGCAAAGGATCGACCCTGGCCCAGGAATGGTTGACTGATGTGGACGCACTCTCACAGATCCCCCGTGCTGGAGGCACATTGAATGACACCATCCAAAACTGGCACACCTCGCACACCTAAGTCGACGGCTAGCAATCTACTTGGTTTCCACCTTGCGCACCCACCAAGAGTCCCAATCCTTTACCAGCTCACACACCTCGTGGCACCAGTTCCAAACAGCAGTGCTTCGGCTTCAATACAAACATATGCCACCACAGCACTGCCAGCACAAACCACACCCCCACTTCGACGCGCACCAACCCCTTGCTCACTACTCTGGGGGGTCAAGGACCCATGTCAGTTCGACCTCTGGTGTTGCCTTGGCTCTCTGGGGTAGCGCAGCGGGCGCCCCGCGCGCAAGCAAAGCACAAGCGCACACTCGCTCCAGCGCAGCAAAACATCCAGCCACACGGCGCAGAAGCAAGGGGTGCGCACATGGTTTCCCGCCGCGACACCTCACGCCAGTTGCCTTCGCAGCCCACCCCCAAACGACCAAAGAAGGCGGAGACCTCGCAGGCCACCAATCCACCTTCCCGCACAACCGTCCGCAGCAAACTTCACCAGCCAGCTGTTATCACCGACAAAGGTTGGCAGTGGACATGCTCACATGGCAGCGTTGTGTTGACCAGTTCCAGCAGCAAGCGCATCTCTGTCAAACGGACTTCCCACATGCTTTTTCGCCATCGAGACCTCCCACTGTCCGAGCGCGCTACGCGCGTCGACGCGACCTCCCTGTGAGGACCAAAGAGACTGGACCTGTCCTTTCTGTTCAGCTGGACTTCCGGCCTTCCAGAACTACCACCAAAAACAGAAAACGTCCGGCGCCGCTACAATACCAAGCATCCGCGCCGCGACGCATCCAATGCGGCTATCCAAGAGCTTCGGCAGCAGCAGCGCCGACTGAACAAGCGAAATGCAGCCCCACATTTCGGCCGGCTATGCTCGAAGTCGCGGGAAGAGATTGGCACAGCGACGTGGAACGATGTTCACCTGCACTGGCTCCCTCCGCATTGCCCAATAACGAGACCGGCTCCAAAGCAGTTCCCAGCACCGCTGCGTGCGCCAGATGGAAGGGCGTCTGCAGACATGCATCCAACAGGAACCAGCCTCTGAACATCTGGAAGCTCAGCAAAGCCGAAGCAGATGATCGAAGAAGGTGTCGAACCCCAGCCTGGTCCCCGCCCTGCGACTGACTAGGGTGGCGCCGCCAATGGCGCCACCACTGGCGAGGACGATGAAGGAGGGGACAGCGATGATGACGACCCTCACCTTTACTCACCTCACAATGCACAGCGCTCACGGCGTAATGCTACCATCCTGTCAGTCAATGTGAAACGCAACGGAACTCTGGCGGCGTCTTGCACTCTTGCATCAGATTGCTGATATCCTACACTGATGGGCCCCCCTAGTTGGAGAACTTG